AGCGTCTACTTGATGCAGGTCAACCAGGCTCTGCCGCTGCTCCTGGACCTTCTCCTGGAGGAATGCTGGGATACTCCCGGCACATTGGAGGTGCTGCTCTGTCACCTGCCTCAGTCCAACCTCAGATCTGTGCTGAAAGAGGCCTCAGAGGCAGGGTATGTCACTACTGAATCAATACACTTATACAAATAGAGGAGCGTTGATTGATTATTGCTTAACTGATTTTGTATTGCTCTCTGGTTCAGGAGTTCAACTCTGTACGAGCAGGATGAGGCCAATGTGTTTGCAGAGCCCTCTGTGATGTCTGCACATGTGCTGCCCTACCTGCTGCAGATGGTAGAAAGATCCTCGGAATCCCCTGCTGTGGCTCAGAGCCTGAGAGCCTGGGCAGAGGGAGGGGCTGCACAGCTGCTGGACAGCCTGGCAGTCTGCAAAGAGATCCAGCCAGGTACCAGTCTACAGTGTAGAAATGGCAATTAAAATATTATGACCTGAGCTCCTCCAACAATCCAACATGCAAACAACAACAACGTGCAAAAAGACTATGTACATGTCAATAGAATATGATATGTACAAGAACAGATGTGAAATAAAATAATGCAAGTTAAGACAAAATTACATACGGTTTATTGCGTGGATAACTATTTATATAAATAAGTATATTGCAAGATGAACAGGAATGTTTATCAGGGCACTTAGCAGAGCCCAGGTGTTTAGCATTCTTATGGCCTGAGCTGATGTATATTCAAAAGTTGTTTTCTTTACAATGCAATTATTTATTCTCTCTATAGCTGAGACATTGACCCGGTCCTGGCTGGCTCTCCTCACGGACCCCCGTTTCCACTGCGCCCTGAGTGGCCTACTCACCAGGGCGGCCTTTCTTCTACGGCTGGTGAAAACATGTGAGGATCTACGACACCTCTCTGAGCCTGCAGCATTGCACATGAGTTTGCAGGAAGTGTGTAGTGTGCTCAGTGTAAACGGTGTCCACTTTCCCTCAGCTGTGACAGCTGCTGTGGCTGGAGAGCAGCCAATATGACGAGGGGCATCTTCTGTACAGTCTGTGACCAAAGCCTTTTGGACAGGGATAAGATTACCTGTGGATATTTTAAGAATGCTTATGACATTTACATGTGCAACACTAGTAATGAATGAGTAGTGCAACCGCTGATGCTGCAGTACACCAGAATAAGGCAGGCTGACGGTTGTGTAAAAGCTCAGTTGCTGCAGTCGCTTCTCTTGTATAAATCATCATATTACATTACATTACATTTAGCTGACAAGTGTTAGTCGACCAACAAGATACAAACTTGAAGAAAACAGAATCATATAAGTAAATCAGGTTTCATAGAGCTAAAACATTTCAAGTGCTACTCAACAGGCTTTAGATAAGCCAGTCCTTTATTAGTGTAGAAGTGCTTTGTTAGTAATTCTATCTCTCGAAGTGGAGTCAAAACAGATGAGTTATCAGTCTGCGCCGGAATATGTGCATACACAAACAAAGACGCCCACAGGGCCCAAGGTGCTGTGTTCCTGATAAGTTCTTGTTTTATACAGAGATACAGCCATCAGCCATCTAAATAGAATGAATATTTTGTATTATTAGAACAGCTCCAGGTCTGTCCTTATAATCACCATCACTTCAAAGCGATGCCCAGGCATCTTGTCTAAGTCGTTTGCTGCTCGTCTCAGAGCTCAGACTGAAACAATGATGTAATGCTGTATTGCCTGGAGAAATTGGCCGCTTGGTGCCCAGCAGGGGAACATAATGGATGTGTTGATGCTCCATTAGAGACCTTCTGCCTGGATAAGTGTCCATTTTCCAACCACACAAGGGATGCAGATGATCGACTAGCTCTGATAGGGGGCAGTCTGTTGCTCCGCAACCAACCACACACTAGAGCAGTCTTACATCACCAGATAGCCCGGCGCACTTGTTTTTAAAGGGGAAGCTCTCAGTGTTAGACAAACAAAGACATGAAAAATTAAGTTTGTATCATTACAACATAGATTTCCTTGGCATACTGTATGTCAGAGGGGATACAAAATTACCTCCATAGCTACATAAGCTCTATTTCAGCTGAGGTTGTGTTGTGTGTTTAGTTATGCTTATAATCATCTAGATTATGTAACAACTATGACATCAATCTTGCATCAATGATTCCTACATAAAGCTCATGAAATGTATTTCCTTACAGCTCACCACCTAGTGTGTAGAGATCTGAGATGAATGTGTGCCTTAGAGAAAGCCACAGGTGGCTCTTCTCATGTCACAATGTGACGCAGAATACTAGGTTATTCTAGATAATGAAAGTTTTTTGGCAAACTGCGAAAACAATATTTTTGGACAAACCTTGAATCATCTTATCTTATCAACAATTCTCCCAGTTTGTTTAACTGCCACACAAAATAACAGTAAGCATTTAAGGGACTGCTACATACTGTGTGGCTGTTTCATCAGACGAAAATATCCTTTATGTTTTAGATTCATAAATCCTTAAAGACAAAGCCTCATAGACCCTTTTAAAACATGGAAGCTAGAACATTGCGATACCTCAAGACAAAGGCAAGAAAAACATGTTGACCTCTTGTTTATATACCTGAAAACTAAAGCATAATTACATCTTATCAGAGTCTGCTTGAACAATGTGTGCAGCCTTTGAAAACAAAGGTTGAGAGGTGAGTTGAAAACACGATGGCACATTTCCTCAAGGTAAAGTGTGTATGAAACTGGAAAAGGACCATCTGGCTCAATAACAGCCTTTGTTATCGTTGCTTAAAGTGTTTACGCACTCAGTGAGTACATGTCCTCAATGATCACATGGAAACAGGGAACAATGCCAAAGAGGTGTAAAAGGGAATAAGGCCAAGTAGGTGCAACCACTTGTCGTGTGTGTGTGTGTGTGTGTGTGTGTGTGTGTGTGTGTGTGTGTGTGTGTGTGTGTGTGTGTGTGTGTGTGTGTGTGTGTGTGTGTGTGTGTGTGTGTGTGTGTGTGTGTGTGTGTGTGTGTGTGTGTGTGTGTGTGTGTGTGTGTGTGGGGGGTGTACCAAGTCAAATATTTTTCGTTTTATAAATGACTTGTGAAAATTGTTTTGTCAGTTTAATTATGTATATAGATTTTTTTTTTAAATAACCATTTATGCTCATTATAATGAAGTGAACAATTTAAGTTGTAATAAAATGTTTGTTTTTCATACTATCAGTGCGTCATAGTTTCATTTTCCAAACGGCATTGCTCATTTCTCCAAGTGATGGACTCTGTAAATCATCGGCGTTATATATTGTGAAACCTTTAATAACAAATGTTAGGTTAAGGCCTTTAGTGTATGGTGATATATTTGGACTTCAGTATTTGAAAAAGTAGACCTCAGCTTGTGACAAATGTGAGAAGTTGCATCGATTCCTGCCAAAAAGCCTCAAACAAATTGACTGAATTAGTCAACTTCAGCTCAGTAAACGTATATATGGAAGTTAATTTCTGATAATTATTAATGATGAAACAAAAATACTTATGGTAAATCAAAATTATGAACATAAAACCCGAAGGATTAGACAAAAAGGCAGAAACTGAGAGACAGATTTTTGAGATTGGGAGTCAAATTTATCAGATAGTTTTTAACAATTTAATTGATTACTCTACATCAGCTCGGTTCAGGTAGTTGTGGAAGTCCATTACTGCTTGGAAAAAGAAAAAACGCTAATATAAACTTTTGTAAAAGTATTTTTTGGTGGCAATAAGCTTCCACAAGTATTAGCCGGCTTGGCCATGTGTTCACCCTTTAAAGGTCTGGAGACATGTGGATTCACCCAGTGCATGCTGGGAGGGTCCCTGCCCCCTGTAACCCTGAATGAGCACAGTGTGATGGAGAGTGCTGGACAGATGCTCTGTGTTTGCTCTAGTAATTGCCTGAAAACCAGGCTGCATATATTTGAAGAGTGGCTTAGTGAACATTGAGGGACTCTCTGTATGTCAGCCAACAGTGACACTCTCTGCTGAGAGTATAGCTCCCTGCAGGCAGACACACAGGGAGGTGCTGCTAGCTCTCCTTTATCAGCCTCCGTAGATTCCTCTCATTCCAGAGACCCCTCAGCTATTTTTATTATGTATTCTACTTGTATTGCTTTCGGTCTTTATTATTTTGCATGTGAACAGTTCTTCAAAGCACCTTTCATTGAGGATGCACTAATTGCCATACATTGTTGTACTTCTTTTTGTTTGTTTTCTTAAGGCTAGAGGAAAAACAGGCCTAGTTTGTTGGAAATGAATCCTGGGAAACAGACAGATTGGTTTTGACAGCTGGACCAAGCACTTAGGGCCGGACACAACTCTTGGATGGGGATTAACTGGAGTTGGATAAACTTGCAATGTTTCCTCAAAAGAACATGGAAAGCAGAGCAATTTACAGACACGCCCAGAAAATGTAATCCATCCATCCATCTTCTCCCGCTTATCTGTGGTCGGGTCGCGGAGGTAGCAGTTCCAGCAGAGAGCCCCAAACTTTCCTTTCCCTGGCCACATCAACCAGCTCTGACTGGGGGATCCCAAGGCGCTCCCAGGCCAGCGAAGAGATATAATCCCTCCACCTGGTCCTAGGTCTACCCCTCGGTCTCTTCCCAGCTGGACGTGCCTGGAACACCTCCCTAGGAGAAAATGTAATAAGCATGGAAATTATTGTTGAAGAAGGAGGAAGAAGGAAAAAAGTTCTAGGAGGAATTATAGAAGCAACCATAATATGTTTGATGTTAGAACATCATTGTGAATTAACCTATAGTTGAATTCCCTACTGACTGTTTTAACAACTTCTTTACTCTCACAAGGCAGCATAACGAGATAAGATAACATGCCAGACTGTTCTGCAGCTGATGCCCGTGTGTGCGTGTGCGTGTGTGTGTTTGTGTGTGTGTGTGGACCATAGTGTGGACCTGGTGAGGCATTAGGACCTGGAGGTTTGTGCTGCAGAAAGGCAGCTCCTCCTCCCACAGAAGGCTGTTTACGAAGAAAGCTGGGCTCCTCTGACAAAAACAAGGGCTGGGACTACAGCGAGAGGAGCAGTGTGCCTGAAAGCACAGGCTCTTCGTCCATTTTAAACATTTTTGTACATGTTTTAAATGTGTTGTTGTTGTTGAGAAAAAGGCACAGTTGAGCACCATGTTGTCGTTGAAGTCAGCCCGTCTGCTCTGCAAGATGTTTTTCTCCCTGCACGCGGTGTTCCTCAGCGTGGCCGCGGTGGAGAGCAATGCATCAAATGGGAATGAAAAAGGTACAAAAATACATCATGTACTTTTAAAAATTTTTTATTTAATTTGAAATGTGTTGTAAACGGTATAACATGTAGCCTAATTAGTTCAAATTAAAATGTCCAATCTTTTGTATCACTTTCTTTTTGATTGCACAATCACTTATATGGGTCGTGCTCACATTTGTTGTGCTTCTCAGATTGCATGAGATCCAATGGAGTGGAGTACAGAGGGGAACTACAGAGCTCTTCCTCAGGACTAACCTGTTTGAACTGGATCAATACCACCAGAGACTATGATGTTACACTCCATACTGATTCACAGACAGGTAAACAACTTTTAATAGATGAGTTTTTATATTTCAGAAGTCAGTGAATTTCCATTTAAATTAAGTGAATCTTCTCTTTCTTTCTGCTGTTGAAGCTAAAGGCAGGAAGTTGGTGATTTTACATGTGACTAATGTGGATGGGTACAACAGGATGATAATCATCCTGACATATTTTTTGATATCTTGATGCAGGGTAATTTACTACAGGATTGCGATTCTTGCACACATGCAGAGCAATAAACACACTTCATTTTGGAAGGGGTGCCCAAACTTTTCGCCTTGGAGGGCAAATACTAAAACGTCATTGTGGGCCAAAAGCAAACACCTATTTTATATAATGTTACTGATGAGATGCAACATGGTACTAAAAAGTGACTTCCTGCACAACGGGTCTGCCATTGTTAAGAATTAACATAAATAATGAGAGATATGTATCAAAACACCTATTTATTCTATCACAATAAAATGGCAAAACATATCTTCTTAAGGCCTCACTTTACAGCAACTGGCCTTTTTCTTTCTTTGTGCTCATGGCTCCTGTCCATTGTAGTGTGATGAAGCAGTGTTAATGATTAATGAATCAAGGGGTTTACACACACAGCAGGACAGACATTCCTGTATATCGAGTAATAGACGTGTGCTGTTTTTATCGTATGTCCTGTAGGTGTGGGAGATCACAATTACTGCCGAAACCCAGACTCCTCTGAGAGGCCTTGGTGCTACATTGCTGGCCCAGATGGGACCGTCCAGAAACAATTCTGTGCCCTGGACACATGCAAAGGTAGGTTAACCCTGACATTTTTAGAAAGTAGCGAGAACCCCAGCTTGAAAAAGACATGCCTGGCAATGATTAATATGTATATTTGAAAAAACAACATGACAACACATACATTATTTTTGTTTCCAAAATGCCCTGATACTGTGCTCTCTTTATGCTGCTGGCAACTACTTTCTCTACGCTGTAAAGCTCTCATTATTTTTGGGGGGTGGGCTATGCTCGGGAGAAATAATGAGATTAACTTTTTGGTATTATGCAGATGTTCTAATTAGTCAACCCAAAAGGAGATTCTCTACTTTTATGGTTCAACCAAACTTTCCCCTTAGTATATTTCCTACCATAAATAAACCATTACATTACATGTTACTTGTTAGAAGCTTTTATCCAAAGCAACTTACACACTCAGTACTGTGGGCAATCCTCACAGGAGCAATTTGAGGTGAAGTGTCTTGCCCAGGGACACAACAACATGCTGACTGCAGTGGGGTTTGAACCTGTGCCCCCCTGATCCGAACACCAACGCACTAGTCCACAGTTTTCTTCACATGTTTTTTCCCATTTTGAATTAGTCTGCAGTAAGTCGTTGGTCAGGGTTAAGTCACTGTGAGGAGTCTCTACTTTGTCCTTTGTTCCTTTCCTGTCTACAAACCCTCACCTAGTCACGCAATAACAAAGCCCTGCAGTCACCAGTCAGAAAGTTCAGTTTGAAGAAAGCTGTTGACCACGCCCCAACCCTCAGCTCATTGGTAGAGAGTCACAGTTTTTGCTTGGAGACAGCAGCTTTTTGGCTGCTTACATTTATGAGTTCTTGTCCTTTAACTTTTGAGTTTGTAAACAACTTGTGTGGGGGAAATGAAAGTTAAAGAGCAGATGTTGACATCGGCAAGCTGTCTTCTGAGGCAAGGTCGAACCATGCAGAGCCTGGCCATAGCACATGTAAAAGAACATGTGCTAAACGATCGTTTCTGTGATGCATGTCCCAGCAGAGAGCCATGTCAGGGCGTTAGTCCTGCCTCTTAAACAGTTGTTAATGTTGTTAGACGAGATGTAATTCGAAACTACACGGTCCAGAAAATTCATCTGTAAGTGCATGACCAAATTTAAATATTAATAAAAGTAAAGTATCACTATACAATATTATTATTATATTTTATATTGTAATAAAGTACATTTTCTATAAAATCAACCGATTATTCTGTTTTTAGACACAATAACCTGACACACACCCTATTTTGGTACAAATGAAGTTTCTTCCGACAGATTCTAAAGTCATATTAAAATCCAAATACCATTCAGCCATAAAGCAGTCCTACTTATTGATTTCCAGGATAACCCCTCGTGGTCTAATGCACCCTGAGATATTAAAGGTAGATGCAATGTAAAGATGGAAATCAATGTTCAAATATTGATTAAAGTACATAGTTCACCCAAAATAATGGGTGAAATATGTGGTAGAACGTTCTAGTGGTCAAAATCTCATATCTCAAAATCTCACTTATAATCTGGCTTCCACTGGCAGTACATCCACAGTAGCACAGTTCAGAGCATCCCCCCAAAAACCAATGTAGCTGTTGTTTAACATTGTTTATTTGCATCTTTAGAACAAGTCTCCACTGTAGCAGCAGAGGCCGAGCCCCTGGAGCCATCAGGAATCATTCCCACCACAAAGAGCTCAAAGCCAGCCAAATCTGAAGCCTCTCAGGGAAAAGTTGCTCCAGCGCAGCCAGTAATTGGAATCAGCCAGCGAGTTCGCACAGGACCCACAAAGAAAAAGGACCTTGGCACCCTTGGTATGTTGGTAGTTCATTATTCCTATGGTCGACTCTTGTTATGAGTTATACATTCTAATGAGCTAAATATCTAAGTGTTTGTATGTTCAGGTTTAACCGTTCACGTTCTCCTTTGTTTATCAGGCTACGTCATTGGTATCCTCATGATGGCGGTCATAATCCTCCTCGGAGTAGGCATCACAGTCGGCTACTTTTATAAGAGGTCAGTATCTTAATCACAGCAAGATCATTAATCATTTGGTTCAGTCCTAGAGGAATTGTATAAAAGAGGACCACATTTAAAGCATTAACTAATTCCTCAAGAGGTTTTTGAACTGAGTCCAGTTGTTTTTTTGTGTTCATCTGATATTACTGTGACACAGAGCCAAAATGTAAGAAGACCTTTATTAATCTCCCTAGGGGGACATTCTGTTTTTTTTTGTAATGCTTCAGAGCCTTCTCGTTAGTTCCTTTGTCCACTACCATGTGTAGTGTTCATAGTTTTAGGATGCGCACGAGCAAGACAAGAATAGTTACTTAAAACTCAGGCATGTTTAATGCTTTCGAGTTCATGGCATCAGCTGTTGTTCACACAAAAATGCGCTTTGTTGTTCCCATAGATGTAACACATTGTATTTAATTGGTTTGTCTCACAACAACGCAACATGGGGAGACAAGGCAGGGAATGAAATGCCTACAGTCCATTTCAAGCAAACCTTCATTCATACTGTTGAAGGCGAAGAGAGTGTTGGATTGGATGCAGAATCCTGCACACTCACTGCAGTTATGTAATGTGAAATAGGATGGTGTGATTCCCTTTGGTACAGCACAAAATGCTCTGCTTTTGGCTTTCAAATCTTATTAGCAAGCCCCAGTCTTTGTCTTCTATTTTTAGGAGGTGATTATTAATATGGAAGAGTAACATGTTGTGTCAGGGCGTTTATACAAAGCCTCAGTGTTCCATGACATCACCGTCAGTAATGGGATAGCTGTTTGGAAAGCATGCCAATTTTCTTCTACACCGGCCAGGACTGGCTGTAGACTTCCCTCCTTCAACAGCTTTTAACTCTAGTATTCTGCTGGCCAGAAAGGGTGTGATGCATGCAGAGGTCTATGCTAAACTCCCATTGGGAACAGACCGTTGACCATTCAGTAGGAGTACAGATCCCACACAGGCTTGACGTACTTAAGAACCGCAAAAAGCACTCAGGCTCGCAGTGATGAGCAAGTGTTTTGTCCCTAATGTTATATCAGTAATACGTCTTCTAAACTCTCTATGTCAGGGGTGTCAATTTCAAATACACAGTGGGCCAGACTGGTTCAATGTTTATTGCGAAACTTATTGAAATGAACTCATTGCACATATTAAACCTGGAACTAACAAAGCTTAAATTATTGCCTATAAAAACAACATTAAACATTAAATAATCAGTTGCATTCATTTCTTATGGCTCTATCTGCAGCTTTTCTTAGTCATTTTTTATGATTACATTTTTCCACAGGCCAACAACAGCTTCAAAAAAACTATTCCCCTCAAAAAAAAAACCAAACATGCCCTGTTGTCTCAACAAAGAAAGTGCAGAAGGAAACATCCATTAAACTCAGGTTGCTGCAATGTGATGCTAGTTCAAGCAGATACTTGGCGTCTCATCTTGGGTGCAAGTTCATCAATGTTTGGGCTCAGGCTCTGAGCNGTGTGCCTTGGCAGTCTCAGTTTCACGGACCTTTCACGGACCTATGCTATAGATCACTATTCTAGTTTTCCTCGAAAGAGTGTTTTGTTTTCCTTATTTTTATTACTGTGCAAAATTCCAGTAAAGTCTTTATTTTGAAACGCTATCTGAGTCTGAGTTTTGAGTCGTGCAATTGAGTTCATGCCTCAGTGTTCACCCCTTGACACCTTGGATGTTTAATTGTAGGGATTTTTCACATTATTTCCTGAAGTCAAATTGTGTGGCATTAGTTAAAGCAAAAACACCCAAAACTATAAACGTGACATAACATGAGAATCGTGACACAATCGACATATGGTGTTGACAAGTTGGCGAAAAGTTTATCAATTCCAAAGACAAACAGTGATGAGAGGCGGCATGAGACTGCTTCCCACTGATCTGGAGCCAAAGCACAGCAACTCTCAAAACACCTTCTATCTGAATGGTCAGGGCAGCATGTTCTGAAACTCTGTGTATCAACATTGATTCTTCGTAACAGCTTCAGTTCAAACAGAACACATTCTTCATAATCTTTTATGTTTTTGGCCCAGAATTTGTTGAGAAGATTAACTTCACTTTCATGTTTTTACGGTATGTAGCAAGAGAGCCAGCTGGATGGAGAGGGAAGCTGCTCGTAGCATCTCTAAAGCTCACTAATTAACATGACGTTTTTTGTGAAGGGACCAGACATTTCCTGGAGTTAAAAAAATTCAGGCTAGCTGTTTTCTCCTGCCTCAACTTTTTTTTTGCCAAGCTAACATCAGATTGGTATCCATTTCTTAATCTAACCCTCAGCAAAAAATATGAATAAACATGATTTCAAAATGTCAAACTATTTACTATTAAGACAAGAATTACAAGTTGTTCACATAAAGCACATGTGTCAAACTCAAGGCCCGGGGGCCAAATCAGGCCCTTGGTGGATTTAATTTCGGCCCGCAGGATAATTTCTAATTACTATTAGATCTGGCCCACCGGTATATTGCACGCACACCTTCACCCCATCCTGAGGATTTCCTCAGCTCAGAGCCTGAGCCCAAACATTGATGAACTTGCACCCAAGATGAGACGCCAAGTATCTGGCTTGACTAGCATNAATCCATTAAAAAACGTCTTCTGTGGAAGCCGTGGCGCTGTAAAAAGCACGACCAATCATCTGAGCCGGCCCGGCTAAAGTAACTGGATGGCCTACCTGGCAGGTAGGCCATCCAGTTACTTTAGCCGGGCCGGCTCAGATGATTGGTCGTGCTTTTTACAGCGCCACGGCTTCCACAGAAGACGTTTTTTAATGGATTTATTGTCAAAGCACTTCAGATATTCATTGCTATCGGGATGTTAAGAGCATTCCATGGAATATAACAAAAAGTGTATCTCGAGCCGGTTTCTCAAACTTACCTACCCCACCTTTTAATATAATGATCTCCCTTGTCTGGTCCCTTCACAAAAAACGGCATGTTAGTTAGTGAGCTTTAGAGATGCTACTAGGCAGATTATTGTTAGCATTTTCCCTCTCCATCCAGCTGGCTCTCTTGCTACATACCGTAAAAACATGAAATTCATCTTCTCAACAAATTCTGGGCAAAACACATAAAAGAATGTGTTCTGTTTGAACTCAAGCTTTTGTAAAGAATCATTGTTGATACACAGTATCAGAACATTTCAGAGTATTTATTAATGTAATGAATCTCCCTCGTATGTGTTTAGGGGTCGGGACTTAAAGAAGCATCATGAGCAGCGAGTGTATGAGCGTGAGATGCAGAGGATCACTCTTCCCCTGTCGGCTTTCTCCAACCCCACCTGTGAGCTGATGGATGAGAACACCATCGTGATCATAGCAGAGCACGAGATTACCCCCATCCAGGAGGGGGGGGAGGACCCTCTCATGGGCCAACACGCTGGAACCCCCGGAGCCTGAGGAAGAAGCCCGTAGTCCTCCCAACGCAGAACTGTGATACATCTCTGTAGACCAAAACACTTCTTCACATCTTCGTTTCTCCCTCCTGCCTCCCTGAGTAACCTCTGTTTTAAAAGGAGTAGGGGAGCAGTGTTTGCTCAAAAGACTTGAACTGAATGCTGTGTCCTTTGTGTCCCCTTTAATCTTGTTTCCAACAAGTCAAGCTGTTAAAACATTCTTGACAACTTAAAACTGTTGCAAGGTCTTAAATACTCGTGTTTATACATTTGATAACCAAGTAAATAAGCTAATGTGCTGCCCCTAACTAATAGTATGCATTTTAGTCTAATGGACTAGTCAGTGTTTATAATGGTAGCCAATTCTTTATGAAGGGATTTTGTTTGGAATGGGGTTTATAACCTTTTGTGTATTTCCATGTGGAGAAGTTTCTCTCCACAGGAAGTTTCATTTATATTGACCTGTTGGCTGTGCCGAGAGAAGAGACCTAAATATATCCTCCTCTGAGACAGGATGAGGAAACATGAGGTAAAGCAGGCCCTCTAAAGACAAGGGAAGGCCTCCCACTCTGCCTTAGCATGATACTTCTGAATGTATTTGTTTTTCTTTAACTGGGATGAATATTTTTTCTCTTTGTACTCGACTGCCGATGCAGTTAAAAAGCATCTTGGGCGATCATTGGCAGACATGAAACATAACTTTGAATCCACAGGTTAAGGAGTGACAGGAAATGAGTGCTCTCAGAAAGCATGAGAGAAAGTCCTCAGGACAGAACAGCACTGCCACAATAGAAATCTGATATGTCTTTGCAGGACAGCGCGTGTGGAAGTGCTGAAGAATCCACACATTTGAGTTATGCACTTGATGCTTCATTTTGGAGTAGAATAGAAACAGTCCAAAGTTTGCTGTTGTTCATTCAGAAAGACGAGTGCATGCATGTTTGTATATGTGGGTAATCTTTTCGCATCCTAAAAAGTATAACTACTGATTAAAGAAGACGTTTTAAAAAATACCTGCCTGAAAATCGTCGTACACAGGAGACTTTGGTGCGTTACCCATGATGCACCGTTACTTCCAGTATGTTTGCTATTACTCGTTCACTCCACATTATCTGGTTTTTATTGCTGGATCCACATCATTTGGTTACTACTGCTCCATTATTGTTAGAGTATGTGTACTGGTTGTCACTTGTTTTCTTCACATAAGCAAAGTGTTTAAAATACTGTTGTTCAGCATTTGAATGTAGTACTTGTATTTGTATGACTACATTTTCACTCCTGAGAAGGAAATAAAAAAATCTAACTCAGACCCTGTGATGTGATTTCATCTATAAAATAAGAGGTAGAACAACATGAGTGCTCTTACTGTAAAAGGTGTTTTAAAGGCTTGTCCACAGTAGGACGTTTTGCACCAGCTCCCCCTGTTGGCAATTATTAGACAGTGAATTCATTGGATTCACATGGGTAAGTAAATAAAGTGAAGTAGATAAGGGACAAAGAGGCTTTTGAAAACAACTCTTACCGATCTCCGAAAAATATGTAAGAAGGACGTTTGATTTGATGTCTGGATTGTATTCAGCTTTATTTCAAGGTGCTGACAAAGCTGATCAATTCCATTCATATATATATATATATTTTAAATGTACAATATGTTTCATATAAACCGTTGCATATTTTTCGTATTAAACCTGTTTATCATTTACTCTAAAATGGGGGATATGGCAAATTAACATTAGCAAAGTGATCTTGTCTTTCCTATAGCCAGAGATGTGTTACATTTGTTTAAATGTATATTATGTTATAAAAGTTGTAAGTTTTCTAAACATTTTTGTCAACATTTAATTGAACTAATGTATTAATGAAATACCTAACAAAGTATAAATAACTGATCATTTCAGCTGTTAAGTGATTTATTGTGGGGAAAAAACTGTTCATTTATGTGACCAGTTTGCGTTTTTAGACAAAACAGATGTACAAAAATATTTACTTTTTTGACCTTAAATGGAGCAGAAGAGCTGAGTTTTAGCATCAATTTCACATCCAAATAAAACAAAAAGCCAACTTTAAGAAGGTTTATTTATGAAACACTACAGTGATATAAATAATAGTGGTTACAACTGATCGCCAGTGCCTTGCACGATGATAGCAAAAAGGCAAAAACGTCCATTGTTGACGAAATGTCTAAAAAAAAAAATCTACAACTCTAGAGTTCCCATTAGAAAATGACATTCAATTAGAGCAATACTATTTACACATTTATATACATTGCTTAAGAAATAAAAAAAATCCAGTTCTTCTGTACAAAGCGACTTTTTATGGTCAACTGTTGCTCGATTATGTCGATTATGACGGTTGTTAATGTCAGCCAAAAAAGCTTCCTCACTGTTTTTAATAGGCCTCAGGTGTATGATGGAATATTTGGACAAAATGTCTTTAAAAATCATTTTGAATGATCCATTCATAATTAAACTTGTCAAGACTACAAAGTACAGAAGCATACTTGTAACCATCCCGTCATTAGGTCAGTGGTGCTTAGACCAAATCAAATGTCCACATCTTCTGCCAAATGTTAGAGTGATGAAAGTATTTAAGGTCAGGCAGTGTTTTGCTTCCACTGCAGATGTCGGATACACTTTTCTCCTGCCTTGTGTACACGTCCTTGTCTGTCGGCCATACTGCGGAGCATCTTTGTTTTCTTTGCGGCTGAAGTGAGAGAAGCACTGATCTGTGCATTCCTCACATAGCAAACGACCTCAGAGCATGAAAAACAAAACTGCTGTCACATATGACTCAACAAGGTCCTCCACCTTATAAAGAGGGTTGGCTTTTGTCTGCTAAAAGATCAAAGCAAGTTGAATATCATCTAGTAAACATTAGTGCGATGTGTTGATCGGGTTTCTTAGTACGGTAAACATTTGTTTTAGTAACTAACACTTGTCTTTTTGAAATGTGTCTTTCCACCCACTTACAAATTCACTGCTATTTTCAGAGTGAAGGTCCCACGAGAGGCCATCTACCTCAGGTTTTCCAGTTCTAAAATGGGGTGGCTTTAATTCAATGTCCCTCTTTTTCCCCCATCTACTGTATTAGTGCAGCCATTCGGAGGGGTTAAAGGAGAGAGGGGGTCGTCCTAGGTGCCGCTGTCTGTCGCCGTGGGAGAGTCTGGAGAGGCTGCTGTCGCCGTTGACGACTGATCCGTGCTCTGGGACGGCAGGACGTCTTTAGGCCAGTGAAGTTGACTCATTCTCTGATGCAGTTCATCCAGTTCGGCCGGCAGGGGGATCCCCAGCTCCTGGTAGAGGGACAGAGCCTCGAACCAGTCCTCCAGCTTCAGGAAAGGTGGTCTGAAGGGAGGAGGGGGGGGCACACAGAGGGAATTGAGGTTAAAACTTGACTGACAAGGTTGAGAGAAAACATGAGGAAGCAATCTGGCAGCAGAGGCGTGTCAGGCGGCCAGGTTGAGACGGCATCTGTTTTCTTCAGTTGTTTTTCCCTCCCACTGCCTCTACAGCCTCTTGGGATCAAATAACTGGCTGGGTTATTATCCCTCGAGGTGAAGGCAGGCTTATTTGACATGTGGCCGTTTAAAATGAGTGATAAATACTTATTTTCCATATCCCTTTTAAATAATTCCCTCATGTTGCTGCACAACTGTTGCATAACTCTGCAATTATTCTCTTTCAGGTTTTTAGGGAGTGCTCAATCACTGCTTTTAATAATAAACAAAGTATTATCTATTGTGACAACAGCTGGCGCTCACCGGTTGTCAGGTGTGAGGTCACAGCAGGCCACTGTCAGAGGGAAGAAGGCTGTGGGACAGTCGTCAGGGACGAACTTCTCCACAAACTTGCCGACATTCAGGCCGAAGTCCAGAGTCCTGGGGAGACACTCGGGGTCTGCATAGACTTTTCCAATGATCTACACGACAAGGAAAGAGGAAGTAAGTGTCGATAAGTCAAAAAGTAGACACATACTTGAGAGTGGCATGGGGAAAGAAATAAAGCACAGGCCATAACAGGTTGCAGCCAAAACCACAATGGCATCTACTTTGCATATTGTCAAATCAATTGTAGGTCTTTAAGGATTTGAAAGTTGCTATGCAATCCTATATTTTGAAATGGTTTAAATGAGGGCAAGCTGTTTTGAATTATATGATTTCTGTTTTTCTTGAGTCTCCCACATCCACTGTTTTAGAAAATCCAGATCAATCTGGATAAAAACAGCGTGTTCTTACCTCACAGAGCATGATTCCAAAAGAGAAAATGTCCACCTTCTCATCATAGCGTTTACCTGTAAAACATTTAGTTTAAAGGATAAGTAAATACACTCATTGACTCACATCATTGAATATCCAATGTAAATCAAGTTTGTAATTCATGTTGTTGTCAGTGGCTCACCATTCAGCATCTCTGGAGCCATCCAGTAAGGGTTTCCCACCACAGTGTAGCGCTTCTTCCGGTCGATTCGTCTGAACACCCTCTTCTTGCCGTTTGGTTTTTCGGGTGGAGGTTTAACCTTTTCCTCGACTACGAGTCGGGACAGTCCAAAGTCTGCAACGACCACGGTGTTGTCCTGTTGAAATATGAAGCCTAATGGTTAACTTGACTTACAGTTAGAAGTCACATTACTTTAGAAGTGTATCTTTTTCAGACACAGCTAAGAAAAGGTTGATCCTACTAACCGACCGTTCACAGAATGTTGAGTTGAAATAACAACTTAATGGCTCATTGAAGTAGAACCAACTCTTAATATCCAGAAGTGGATGCTTTAAAAAAAAGATATTGTCTTGTGTTACCAATAAACTTTGAGGTTTCACAGCTATTCTTGGTCGTATAGACTGTCGGTGAATCACAGGGCTGGAACTACTATTAGAGCAAAATGCACGCCAACTTTTCTCAGTTCATGAAACGTACAAATAGTTCCCACGCTTTATTATCATTGTTTGGATTTGATGATGGGTAACTGCTGGCAAGATGCCATGTCACACCTACCAGTTTAACCAGGCAGTTGTGAGAATTGAGGTCTCGGTGTATGATGCTCATTGAGTGAAGGTAGGCCTGAAACAAAGAGGAAAGAAAATCACTTTTATATAGTAAAACTTTTATCCACACAACTTCTGTGACTGACGCCAAGTGAATTCCTTTAGCTGTGACATTGAGCACGTTGACACACATTTGGGCATCTGAAAAAGCAGCCAAAGATTTCACTTATAGTAATGTCTTTGCAAGAGGCCAACTCACCATGCCAGAAGCGATGCTCTTTGCAAAGCTCACCCTTTGCTCCCATGGAAACGGATCCTGTCAGTCACATGAAAAGACAACAAAAACAAGAGTGAGAAATGAATAGAAATTCCCCCAGAGGCCATAATGCACAACAGGTACATACAACATAACACTGCACATGTAGAGACAGGAACACGGTATTCAACAAGAACACACACAACAAAACTGGGCCTCCCCCACACGCTAAAAACACATTTAGAGACAAACCCCCCCCCCCCTCCTCATTGGACTGACCACTGAACTATATTGCTTTTCAAAAACAGTGAGCTGTGGGAGGAGGGGAACAAAGCGCTTTAAATTGAACCTGGGAACACTTTCCATAACTTTTCTCATTCCACATATTGGCCTAGAGGACATGTCAGCCAGCCCACTAAAGAGTGGAGAGCCCCCCCCATCAGTGCAGAGACAGTAGATAGTTAGATTTACATCAGGAAAGCCCCCTCCCACAGTACTGTTGCACAGAACTTGATTTTGTGCTCCACCGTGAAGGACAAGAGGAAGAGGTTGATTCAATCAAGCCGTTGAACTCACCGTGTCTCTGATGAAGTCTTTCAGCGTGCCTCCCTCGATATACTCCGTTATCAAATTAAGCCTCTTGTCCTTATAGAGCACACCGATAAACTTCAAGACGTGGGGATGTTCCAGACATCGCATCACTTTGACCTGAAGCAGAAACAGAATTCAAATGTTTACCATTATGACGGGCAATTGTGGAAACATGCGATGTGCTTCAGTTTCAAGTTGAAGAAATCACAGCTTCATGCTGCAGATAACAAACCTCCTTAAGGAAATCCTTCTGGGTCTCTTCATCACAACGGATCAGCTCCTTCATCACCATCACTTCTCCTGTGGCTTTGAGAGTCACCTGTTAATAAGACAAAAGTATTACTTGAAGCCCATGCCGTTGAAAAACCAAGAAGTCTCCAAATCCAGTTGGAGGCTGACCTTAATAGCCTGTCCGAAGAAGCCTTTCCCTAAGACCTCCCCGTGGATGAGGTCACATGGGCGGAAGATGCGATGAGAGCAGCTATTGGAGGATCTCAGGGACTCGGAGCGGCCGATGTCTCGGGAGATAAAAGGCATGTCTTTGGGAGAGTTCGGCCCGGGCGACGTGCATATGCTGGTACTGCGCCTGTAACAGAGAGAATACGGATGATTTATATAAAACTCATCTAGACCCATAATATCACATTTTATTTCACGTGTATTTAGTTGACTAATTCCTGCATTTGACTTCCCCATTGTGTCCTTTTTACTTCTGTATTTCCTTTTATGTCTTAAATGTATTGTCTGTTGCACTGTTGGAGGAGCCTGGGAGTTAAGATGTCCCATTGTTAAGAACTAGGGTGTAGCTGTCTTGCATATGACAACAAAAGCCTTTGAATGTTCGACACGAAATACAAGCTGTGTGTGTTTCTGGCTGCTCTCACAAACCTCAAAGACCTCCTCTTCAGAGTGCCGTCATCCACCACGTCGGTTCTCTCCAGGACGGCACCAGCCGGGGAGGACAGACGCATGCGGGACGTGGCCGGGACCCCCAGGTTGGTACTGGGCGACCCCAGCCTGAGGCGGTCCAAACGCTGCCGGACCGGGTCGTACTCGATGAGCAGCTGCAGCGTGTGACTGGTGCGGTGAATCAGGTTATCCACCTTAACCAATGAGAGTTGAACACGTTTTTAATTATTACTTACCGGGAAATACATCAGAGATTCATTTTTTTCTGAACATTTAATTAAACAACATCCTTGACAGTGACTCTCATATGACATGGGAGAGATACAAATAATACTGTTATAAACGTACAATATAAAATAACAATTATGAATATAAAAGTATTAGATACAGAGAGTTCAATGATGTGTGTCCCTCTGCTATATACCTTATAACAAGTGACCACTTCTCTAAATACATGTCACGATTTATTTCAACAATTACATTTTACAATTATTTGTATTCAATTTTCCTACGTTTTATTTCATATTTGTTAGTTAATTGTGTCGAAGGAGACCAATTCCTTTCTATCCGAGTCAGATAACCACGCAGTGTAATAGAGAGAGGTATTTCTGTTGTTATTCAGCCTACCCTCATTGATATCAATGGGGTAGACAACATATTAGAAACACCTCTCTGTCTTTTCAATACCTCTCTAAAACAATTTCAACAAACTGTCAATATGCCTGCATGAAGGAGAGTTCTGTCATGACTGTTGGTTTGGACTATTAGTTTTATGTGTAACTACTAAACTGGTAACGGATTGTACCTGCACCAAAGCACATGACTTTAAATCAGATTAACTGTCAAGCATAAGTAATGCAACCTATAAGATGGGATACTACGTGCAGTCCTTCCACTTACCGTTCTCACCCAGCAGAAGAATGTATAAATGATCGGGGAATGTCAGGAATGCCGAAAATGACATGTGCATGTGTTGTGTTGAACAAGAACAATGCTTTTGCAAATTGCTCTCAAGGAATGGACGTGCCCTTAATAGCAACACTAATTCGTTCCATTTGAAGAACTTCAGATCCCGTATCTCTCCATGAGAATCAGAGATGTGTGCGAGGTGTAAACCCACCTCCTCCTGCATCAGTGTCCCGACAGGAAGGCCATTAATCTCCAGAATCCTGTCCCCGACGTGGATGGCGTTTCGGACCTCTGGACTGATGAGCATGCCTCTGACTCTGAACAAAACATAAACAACACCTGCATGTGAGTATTAGCACTACAAGGAATGATTTAGAGAGATTAAGGAGAACTGGAACACACTCATATCCATACAATAACTACCTTTCTTGCAGTGACACAAACAAACCAGTGCCCTGCTATTTAGCAGACCTATAATCAGTTTAACATGTGGTCCCGCATTAACACCGATGCGAGCCTCCCTCAGGTCCCACTTACTCTTTGACCTGCACACTCGCTGAGCCGCTGACGTCCCTGGACACCGTGACGGAGAAGCCCCTCTTGCCATTGGCCGCAGAGGGCATGGAGATGAGGGTCACTGTGTGAGGCAGCGAGTCGAGGACAGACTCGTGTGAGCGCTTCTCCAACATGGGTGTAAGAACCTGCTGCTTATAGCACTTCCCACTGCACACAGAGAGAAAAGGAGTGGATCACTGCATGCCTGTTGTTAGGTTACTTTGCAATTCTGTAAAGGAGTCATGAAAAGACGACCAACAAGGAACATTAACTTGAGGACACTTATTTTTAGTCCATCTTTGACTAAGGAATAAGATCAGATATCGATCCCAAATGGGGATGGCATGGCACAATACAAATTAAAAAGACTAGAAATAAACAATTTGAAAATATACGTGTTGAATTTACACATTAACAAAAACAATATATAAAGCAAGTTATTATATATACATCTAACTAACATGATACCTGAAATTAAACAAACATTTCCTCTTGGAGTGAAAATGAAACCATGCATTACAATTAAATGTCTTAAAAGCCGCTATGAAAATACAGTAAGAACTCTAACTAACTAAAACATGTTTTAATGTTCTAATTAACATACACATTGAGACTGGTGTTTCAAATATGTTAACTCATCACAGCATAGACTGCATGTGTTCATAACACTCTTTAAAAAGAAAAAAAGGATTGATCAGGTCTCTTACCAGTAGAGTTTGGATCGCTCCACTAAAGCGTAGGTATCCCGGTCCTCAATCACCACCTTGCAGCTTAGACACACAAAGCACTCTGGGTGATACTTGTGTTCTCCGGCCACCTGGAACCACAAAACAAAAAGGTCTGATCTTCAAAATGTTCACGAGTGGAGAGAAGTAATGCTCTGACTGGAGTCGGCTGTGCTCTGCTTGTCCCAGGTGAGTGTGTCGTGAGCTGCTTTATGCCCTCCTCCCCATTGAGCGGTGACACAGGCGTAACACCTGCTTTCTCTCACGCAGTCTGGAATCTGATATGATGTCACCTTCCTCGGCAGGTCTGAGCCGCTCGTCTCTGACGTTCTCCCTCCCCCCCCCTGAAACCCGCCCACCATCTCGTGCTTTCTTTCCCATTAGCACCGCCTGATTTCCCTTTCTGTCATTTATGATGCGTGACTTCTCTGCCTCTCTCGCATGCAAGATGAGATAATGTGTCAACCCTTAAGCACCTGAGTACTGTAGTTATGCACGTACTTAAGCACGGGAAATGTTGATTTCAGGTTCAATGATAACTCCGTGTTAAGCCTACATTTTAAATGTGGTCTGCGGTTTATCTACAAAGCACCCGAGGGATGCAGAAAGAGAGTGAGGCAGTAAAACTGGGGAAATGCATAATTAAAAGGAAGTTGTTTCAATAGCCTCCTGGGAACCGAGGAAAACAAATGTTTTCTAATCTTCTTTATTTTCTACCTTTTTAGGGTTAAAAAAACATCTTTTATTTTGAAATGTTACAGTATGTCCACTGTAGAGGACGTCAGGACCATTTTAGTTTGAAGACAGATAGACTATGTAACGTATTATGGTTATAGAGTGTATACAATAATACATTAACCTTTATTTAAAACATGAATAAGTAATTGATCTGAACATTGCTGTTTATTTGGTCACTAAAAAACTAGTTTGGTTTTTGGTGAATCTTTCCAGATCTTCAAAGACCTTGTAGTCAATGTAGTGGGGAAAGTACCTCATTGACTCCAGTCGGCACGGGCTGTAGGGTCATCTTGACTAGATTTATGGATGTGGTCTCCATTGGACCAAGCTCATAGAAACAAAGCTTGCATTCCTGAGGCAACTCTCATTCTTCATGGATCCACTTAAAATAAAAACAACAATAAGACATACGTGCTACTCTATGTCTTTCCCGCTCGTCCCTATCTGTCTCGGTCTGTATCTGTGTGCTCATGGAGCCTCCTGCATCTTTCCCCCCCTTCCTCTTGACCCTCTTCTATCCCAGGTGTGAAATCCTCATCTCTCTCATCATCTCAGAGCTCAAAATCTTAATCTCCCTGAACTATCTGGTACAGAAAATGTCTGCTTCAGTTCCGTCTCCTGCAACAATATTGAGTCCTAAAGTCCATGAAGACGTTCCTGACATCCACTAAGATGGACATTTATAAAAAGAGCTGTTATTTGAAAACTTGAATTATTTAATTGCTTTCAGAACTAATTATATAGTTCCTCACATGTTAATAAACAAGAGCATATTTGATTTGCATGGCATTTTGTTTTTGGTATGCCAGCCATTTTGGATGAAAACAAAGAGGAACTTCCCAGCATGCAATTTTAACCAATGACATATCACTGGAAAGACCAGGATGTCCTCTGTACAGTACATCAGGGATTGATAGAGTAGCTCAAAATGTTCAATGGGCTTGGTCCCAGGAGGATATTGATAGCATGAGCATTGATTGAGGAATAATTGTTCAAACACATGATGAGGCCCAACTTCATCTGATATACCAATAGTATAATATGATCAAATAAGTATAATCTTAATGATACACATTATTTGGATTAAGTCCCAGAGATGTTGACTCAAGTCACAGTTTTGATGCCTCGTTACATGGCAGAAAATAAACGACTTGACTCAGGACACGATAACTCAAATAACTTTTCTGTCTGTGTTCATTTTATGTTTTCAATTAAAATGTTCATGCAAGCATAACACTGGGATATACTTGTGATGGTGAACACCCTGCGAGCCCAGCCCCTCCCCACTATAGCATTATTAGACAGGTACTAATGCATTGTGTGTTCTCTCAATAGACCAGATACTAAAGGTAATACTGCAGTATCTGGGGGGGAGGGGGATTTGACTTGCCTTAACATATACTGTGACGTAATCAAGAACAAAGCACTTGGGATTTGTTTGAGGAGTGGACCAGTTGTGGAATGCATCTGAAGTACATTTTCTGGCGTATTGTACTTAAGTATGATTTTGAAGTACTTTACTGGAGTATTACCATTTTGTGCTGCTTCCTTTTTCAACTAATACATTTTGGAAACCAATATTCTACCTTTTACACTGTATATGATTATAGGTGAAGATATCCAGCAGCCTTTCTGCTTCACACACGTTGCATACCGCTATTTTCTTTTCTTTTTCGGACACCTTAAAATACTGCCAGACTGGTGAAGCCATTTTGGCGAGCTTGTTTTGGCGAGCTTGTTTTGCCGCGCACAGAGAAAAGTGTCATGTATTTTACGTCATAATTTTACGTCATGCGATCGGCTCTCGCGATGGGCATTTTTAGAGAGCCCCGATCGATCGGCAGAGAGTGAGTATCGGCCGATATCGATCGGTGGCCGATTGATCGGAGCATCCCTAAATTTCCATTTGGGTATTGGCACGTCACCATACCCAGGAAGAAAACAATGGAAAAAGAGAAATCTCCAACGAGGCGCTCTGGGGCAGCATAGACAGGTCTTTTCTGTGTTACAGTTCTCCTCACTACAGGGTGTACTTTGAGGGTTTTGACTCTGCAGACCGCTTACATGCATAAAAACCTTCATAACACACAAGGGGACGGGGAATAACCGGAAAAGCATGACATGGGCCCTTTAATATTGAAATGTTTATTTTACTGCATTACTTTGACGAGACTTAGTAAGTCACCCCACGACCCATCCCTTTTCTTAGGGATGTCCTACTCTAATCCCTCACATACTGTCTGGTTTATTAACACACCCTTTTCATAACCGAACATTTACAGGACAAATTATT